CCTCCAGCCAATGGGAGCTGCAGTCGATGGTACCTGTGGAAGCACAGGTCAATATACTGCTCCTGTCTGCCAGGGGCTAACCCTGGGGAACCGCTGCTGTTTCATTGCCCACCCGATCTGGTTTGATCTGCCATTTAAATTCACAGACCGACACCAGCCAGCACCCACCCAGGAACACAACAACTGGCTAGTGGGATCCTATTGGCTGCCAGGCGTGTGGCGTCATCCAACCGCGTATCCTTTGGGATCTAACTCTGGCCCAATCTTTCCCCTGCTCAATCCCAGCCAGGCCCCTACGGCAGTGTGGGGTTGTGGTCTGGCTCTTGCATGATAGCCCGACCCAGCCCACGCAGAGGGATGGGGAGAAAACTCGGCTAGACTAGAGGGGCAGAGGCTAAGGAGCCGATAGAACTCATGGCCTTTCTAAGGCTGTTCTGCAGCTCTGCCCATTGTGAGTGACGCGGACGGCGTGGCCTGAGAGCAGAACTTACAGGTTGTGGGCACACAGCATGCATTCATTGGGGTAAGTGACGCCGTCCGTGCCGCAGACTTTCTCCAGGAGCCTGGGGCAGGCGATCAGGACTTTCCCATCTTTGGTAGTGCGCAGGCGGTACTGGCTGCAATCAGCCTGCAACAGTAACACAGCCATAGCCTGGGGCAGCCTTTGTCGCAGGAAATAGGGCTCCTTCGCTATCCTCCCCACGCTGGGCCCATTAGGGTCTGTGTCTGGAGAATCGTAGGATGGGAAGAGACCTCAGGGGGTCTGGGGCGAAGCGGGGATGGGATGTCCTTTCTGCTGCCCTGTAATGGCCCTGTGCGCGTGTGCCTCAGTTTCCCTGGGCACTGAGCCAATACCTAGCTAGGGCTGGGAATTTTGGGTGCGACTCACTGAGGAAGGCTGGCCCAGCCCCAGCATGTTCACAATGGCTGAGGCTCTAACCTGAGCCTGGGAGGGGGAGCAACCAGGTGACAGCTTTTGCCTGGGAAGCTGGACACAGGAGGGGGCGGGACTGTCTGCAGGGCTGGGACCAGTTGCTGGGTGTGTGAGGGAGTCTCAGCTGACTTAGGATCGTCCCATCCCAGGATTTACCAACCGCTAGGAATGGAGATCCTACCCCCTCCCTAAGGACCCATCCCAGTGCGTCCCCATCCTCCGAGGGAAGTATGTAGGGGTTGAAATGTTTGTCCCATCACCGGGGCGATAGAGATCTATAATCCTTGTCTCTCCTGCGGGAGAGTCAGGAATGCTGTGCGGGAAGAAAGGACCGTGCACACAGACCGGCGTTCTGGCTGAGACACCTGTACTCCATTGAAACTTAGTCGAGTTTTGGCTTGGCGCCCCAAACCCAAACGCGAATGAGTTTCCCCCTGTACTTCACTCTCCAGAGGGTTAAATGGGGCCGTCTGAATGGGAAACTCCATAGAACAAGGACTGTCATTTTGTTCTATTTGTACAGCGCCTAGCGTAATGGGGTCATGGTTTCTGACTAGGGCTCCTGCGTTATGCCATTACAAATAACAATGAGTAACGTGAAAGATTTGTTGCCGCACAAGCCAAATGGAAACGTGCTCCCAGCTCTTGTTCCAATTTGTAAAAAAAACCATTTAGATTTGGTCAGAGACCTGGAGAAAGTGACAGAGAATAAATGGGACGGGCTACCTCTTACTTACCTCACCGCCCAGGGGGACAGCTGAAAGGAAATCAGACAGAAAACATGAAACAGCCAAACCGCTGACAGGCATAGCATTCAAATGTGTGCTTGGAGAATCATTCGATGGCACTGTCAGGGAATGGATTCTTAAACCAAACAAACCCGGTGTGGAATTTGGTGCCAAGCTGGTAAGTGGTGTGGCAGGACGTAACACCATGTTTTGGTGTTTTGGTGGTGGGTTTTACGGGGAGAAAGAAGAAAAAATATATTCATCAAGAAATAAAAGATGTTTCCTTTCTTTATTTACCTGCCCTACTCTGTGCTCTGTAATTACAGGAGATCACAGAAATATACCTAAGGCTATATAGATAAAGGTGCAAACAGGTGCACAAAATATACACAAACACACTCAGACAGACTCAGACCAATATTTTGGCCCTGGAAAGGATTCAGAAAAGGGCAACTAAAATGATGAGGGGTTTGGAACGGGTCCCATATGAAGAGAGGCTAAAGCGACTGGGACTTTTCAGTTTAGAAAAGAGGAGACTGAGGGGGGATATGATAGAGGTCTATAAAATCATGAGTGGTGTGGAGAGGGTCAATAAAGAAAAGTTCTTCATTAGTTCCCATAAGAGAAGACTAGAGGACACCAAATGAAATTAATGGGTAGCAGGTTTAAAACTAATAAAGTTCTTCTTTACACAGCGTGTAGTCAACCTGTGGAACTCCTTGCCAGAGGAGGCTGTGAAGGCTAGGACTATAACAGAGTTTAAAGAGAAGCTAGATAATTTCATGGAGGTTAGGTCCATAAAAGGCTATTAGCCAGGGGATAGAAATGGTGTCCCTGGCCTCTGTTTGTCAGAGGCTGGAGAGGGATGGCAGGAGACAAATCGCTTGATCATTGTCTTCAGTCCACCCTCTCTGGGGCACCTGGTGCTGGCCACTGTCGGCAGACAGGATACTGGGCTAGATGGACCTTTGGTCTGACCCAGTACGGCCGTTCTTATGTTCTTATGACAAATGAGGGTTACAAAATGCACACTAAAAAGCAGACCTCCTAAACTTTGCCTGTAGCTACTATGGAAGCATAGGCCATCGACAATTTCTTTCCGAGCCTCTCTATTTGAATTTTACCCCTTCTGAATATTTAGGAACTGTGCCGGCCTCTGAAATTGCTCAGGTGTCCTCTGTGAGGTGCCTCTCAAGCAATGGAAACAGAAAATCCTATTGGCAAAGTTAACGTGTGTCCCTGCAGGGCGTGCACAGGCCAACAATGGACGTGCAACCACCAAGCGGGCCCCTCCTCTCCTAAAAGCATGTAAAGTTCTTCACTGAGCCCATAATTCCGGGTGTGGATTTTCCCCCACACACAAGAGCAAGGCTGGAAAGGAACGGCCCATTTACGGCTGTGCTGAAATTTGGCCCTGGCTGTTAAGATGGAGGATGGTCAGGGCTATTGAGTTACTCACCCGAGAGGCAGCCAAGAGCCAGAGCGAAGAGCACAAGGGCACCTGTTCCATTCATGGTGGGTGGTTGCCTGGTGTGTGAATGCATCTCCGCAGGTGTAGCTCACACACATATATACACCCGTGCAGGCACACCGCTCAGCCATCCTTCTCCTGACCCAACCCTCCACATCTGTCATTGGCCCGGTGTGCCTGAGAATGTTTATCCAGGTCAGCCCTAATCGGGGAGGAATGCTCACACAAACACCCAAGTTGCCAAACAGCCGAGTTGCTCTGGTTAACAAAGGCTCTTTATGCAAGAAGCAACCTCTGGAGGCCCCCAAACCAGTCCCAAATATTCAGTTTGGCCAGTTTCATTCTCCTGCTTCAGCTCCATTACCAGACGTAAGTCATAACACGTTTGGGGCTGGAAACGTATGAAGGAGGGGGGCCCACCGGGAGTTCCTCTAGTAAGTGACCAGTTTAAATCATTCCCTGGATCCTCCAACTTCAGTTAATGATCCACTTGAGGCAAAGGATTTCTGGCTGGTCCTTAGGTTGCAGCTGAAAATGGGTTTTACTACCTGGATCTGAAAAGAAATGCATAGGGAAAGGAAACCGACTAGAACCTCAGAGATGGCACTGGAGCCTTCGTTGTCCTTTGTAGAGTATGCTGCCCCTCTGGCCCGTGGGTGGGCAGGAAAGAAGGGTGGTTGGCTGTGTTGTGCTAAGCCAGTGGTGCCCAAACTTTTGTAGCAGATGGACCCCTTTTCAATTTATTAAAATTTCATGGACCCCTCCCCCCCATCCTGCTGGAGGGGAAAAAAAGAAAAAAGAAAAAAAGAGAGAAAGAGAGCGAAAGAAAAAGAGAGAGGGAAACAAGAAAAAAGAGAGAAAGAGAGAGAAAGAAAAAAGAAAAAGAGAGGGAAACAGGAAGAGCGAGAGAGAGAAAAAGAAAAAGAAAGGATTCGGCCTGCTGTGGCGGGCCCGATCTTTATTTTTAAACTTTCTACGGACCCCCTGCAATACCATCAGGGGTCCACGGACCACAGGTTGGGAACCACTGTGCTAAGCCATTGTGATTTCCAATTTGTTTTCATTTCTTTTCTGGGACAAGATCCCAGCTGTGCACCACTCACGGCTGGATGTATCTTTGGCTTCAGAAGGGCTAATCGGCTACGCGGAGCTTGGCTTTGGAGTGGCCAAACCAGAGGTGACAGTGCGTGGGCGCGCCCTGGCGCCCAGCTCCGGCAAGAGTTGGCTGGGTTGCGGCAGAAGCCAGCAGGGAGCTAGTTACAGAGCTGGCAGGACCCCGGGTTGCAGTAGGACAGTGCCTGTAAGAAATGTGGCGTGACTTTCACCACTAGGCCAAACCGAGACTCTGACATCGCTCCGTGCAGAACTGCCCGGAGAAAGGGACTCAGCGTGATGGTGTTGCTGTGAGTCTAGACAAGGCACCTCGAGAGTGCGGCTGCAAAACCGTCCGCTCCCCTACTCAGCAATGGGGTGACTGGCAGGCTACGTGGGGGTTAATGTGTGTGGAAGCCGCATGCTCTGCCAAGAGAGCTCAAAAGTAAACAGCAAAGAAGTTCGGCAAACAAAGGGCATCTTTGCAAAGCCCACAGCCTAGAGCACAGTGGGAGGGGAACAGCTGCAGCCACAGAGAAAGCCTTTGATCCTGAGCCAGGAGAGAGGGTATCCTACAGCGTGTTAACAATGAGCTTTCTTGCCTGGGACACCACCTCTCACGCTGCGGTTCCAGCTGAGGAGTCGCCGGGATTACAGGGGGCTGCCGGGATTACAGGGGGCTGCCGCAAGCAGTAAGGCCTTCGAGCTGGTCAAAAAGTTCCCCACCCCTATTTTTTCTGTCTGAACATGCCGGCTCCTCGAAGTGTGAATGTTTCACAGAAACGTGTTGCTTTCGACAACATTTCATTTAAAGAAAGTGGAATGGAGCCGGGGCCAGCCTTATCCATATGCAGAATACACAGCTGCAGGGGGCACCCCAAAATCTGGGGCACCTCTGAATCCTAGTCTCCACCCACTTGCCTCTTCCTATCCCTGTTCTGTGGCTCTTCTTCCTCTGGAGAGGATCTAGATGGAGTGGAGATTACTGAATCGGGGGTTATGTATATAACTACAAAGGCAATTTCCCCATCTTTAATATTTGCCTCTCCACCCCAAATACTGTGAATGACACACCCACCCTGACCGAATTATCTTCATTAAGTGATAATTCACTTGGGGAGTGCCCCAAGGTTCAGTTCTAGGACCGGTTTTGTTCAATATCTTTATTAATGATCTGGATGAGGGGACGGATTGCACCCTCAGCAAGTTTGCGGATGACACTAAGCCAGGGAGAGAGGTAGATACGCTTAAGGGCAGAGATAGGGTCCAGAGTGACCTAGACCAATTGGAGGATTGGGCCACAAGAAATCTGATGAGGTTCAACAAGGACAAGTATAGAGTCCTGCACTTGGGACGGAAGAATCCCAAGTATTGGTACAGGCTGGGGACCAACCGGTTAAGTAGTAGTTCTGCAGAAAAGGACCTGGGGGTTACAGTGGATGAGAAGCTGGATATGAGTCAACAGGACGCCCTTGTAGCCAAGAAGGCTAATGGCATATTAGGTTGCATTAAGAGGAGCATTGCCAGCAGATCCAGAGATGTCATCATTCCCCTTTATTCGGCTTTGGTGAGGCCACATCTGGAATATTGTGTCCAGTTCTGGCCCCCCCACTACAAAAAGGATGTGGACGCATTGGAGAGGGTCCAGCGGAGGGCAACCAAAATGATTAGGGGGCTGGAGCATATGACTTATGAGGAGAGGCTGAGGGACTTGGGTTTGTTCAGTCTGCAGAAGAGAAGAGTGAGGGGGGATTTGAGAGCAGCCTTCAACTTCCTGAAGGGAGGTTCCCAAGAGGCTGGAGAGAGGCTGGTCTCAGTAGTGACAGATGGCAGAACAAGGAGCAATGGTCTCAAGTTGTGGTGGGAGAGGTCCAGGTTGGCTATTAGGAAAAACTATTTCACTAGGAGGGTGGTGAAGCACTGGGATGGGTTACCTAGGGAAGTAGTGAAGTCTCCATCCCTAGAGGTGTTTAAGTCTCGGCTTGACAAAGCCCTGGCCGGGTTGATTTGGTTGGGATTGGTCCTGCCTAGAGCAGGGGGCTGGACTTGACGACCTTCTGAGGTCTTTTCCAGTTCTATGATTCTATGATTCTATGATTAACACAGGTCCTGCTATTGACAGGTAACTTCTTCTGCTGATAGATATACCCTAGGTTCTGTTATTTTCACTCCAACCCATCTGATGAAGTGGGTTTTACCTACGAAGGCTCATGACCTAAGAAATCTGTTAGGCCTGGTCTACACTAAAACAAAAGACAAGACTATGTAGCACTTTAAAGACTAACAAGATGGTTTATTAGGTGATGAGCTTTCGTGGGCCAGAACCATCTTGTTAGTCTTTACAGTGCTACATAGTCCTGTTTTTGTTTCCGCTAGACTAGACTAACACGGCTACACCTCTATTACTGGTCTACACTAGACCAGGCAGGTCGGGTTAAGAGACGTTGTCCAGTTACATAAATTGCGTAGCTGGGGTCAGTTTACCTTAAGCAGAGCCGTCACAATGCCAAGCCAGTCTCAGAACGAAGAGACTGGACACCAGCAGGGGCTGCCCTTGGCATAGGAATTAGAAGTCTACCTTAGACCTGCTAAATGGAACGCTGGAAGACTGAGCTCCGGAGGGTCGATATTCTCCATCGTGTTAACGTGCCCTTAGTCTCTAAGGTGCCACAGGACTGCTCATTGATGTGCTACTCGCTCCACAATAAAACAACCAACCAACCTGTTTCTAGCACAGAGGGCACGCTTTCTGTTCTCTCTGGCATCATCACTCAGCAAACCGGAAAGAAACTTGGTGACAAAGCAAGACAAAGAAATGCTGGCGAGTTGGCTTTATTGAACAAGACACCCAGGGGAAATCAACAGCCCCAAGGGCCGGCTGCACTGAGGATGGGTCTTCCTCAAAGATCTGCCAGTGGAACAGGAAGCAAAGGAGGCTCTCCCTCAGAGCTCGGCACCAATGAGAATTCAACATTCTCCATAATGGCTAAAGGTGAGAGTCCTATTGCTTGTCCTGGAGGGGGAGAGAGAAGGAAATGGATCAGAGACAGAGCATGCAGGATGCTAAGAGATAGCTTCCCCAATTATCACCCCTAATGTTATTACTTCACAGACACTAACCGTCCCCCCTCACTCCTCCTCTTTCTTAAATCGGATTCGTCAGTTTTATATGTGTTCACTTTTTTTTATTGTATCACTGAGGTATATATGGTCGTGCCAATTTTCTGCCACATCTTGATCTGAGGAAGTGGGTCTGGCCCACGAAAGCTCATCACTTTATAAACCATCTTGTTAGTCTTTAAAGTGCTACATAGTCCTGCATTTTGCTTCAGCTACCCCAGACTAACACAGCTGCATCGCTATCACTAATAGAAGTCTTGTGGTAGAAATGTAGCCGTGTTAGTCTGGGGTAGCTGAAACAAAATGCAGGACTATGTAGCACTTTAAAGACTAACAAGATGGTTTATAAAGTGATGAGCTTTCGTGGGCCAGACCCACTTCCTCAGATCAAGATGTGGCAGAAAATTGGCACGACCATATATACCTCAGTGATACAATAAAAAAAAGTGAACACATATAAAACTGACGAATCCGATTTAAGAAAGAGGAGGAGTGAGGGGGGACGGTTAGTGTCTGTGAAGTAATAACATTAGGGGTGATAATTGGGGAAGCTATCTCTTAGCATCCTGCATGCTCTGTCTCTGATCCATTTCCTTCTCTCTCCCCCTCCAGGACAAGCAATAGGACTCTCACCTTTAGCCATTATGGAGAATGTTGAATTCTCATTGGTGCCGAGCTCAATAGAAGTCTTGTCATTCAAGCAGCACGGAAGGTCTTTGATAGAATCTTAACACAACAGGGAAGAACAAAGTAACAATCTCAACAGCTTGCTTGTCCCATCCACGAATAGCGTGAAAAAAGGAGACAGGTTTAACTCGTTCATAGGAACAAGAAGCGTGTGAAATATTTCTCATGACCTACTGAAACGCGAGGGGGAAATACATAAAGCTCAACTGCTCAGGGCTGCAATTCGTGGCCTCTGGATAGCCGTGTCGGTCAAAATCACCACCCCGCACATGGAAGGACACGGGCCAGTGCCGGTAGATGGATTACTCCGTTGCATTACTCAGAGGAAGAGACTTAGTTCTGGACTTACACGACGGCGTTGCAGAACTGACATTTGTTGCCATAGGTTTGGCCGTCAGAGCCGCAGTGGGCATGATACTCCATGGTGCACAAGGGGCTGGGCTCAACGTAGTCACTGCAGTCAACCTGCAAACAGAAGAGGAAGAGCATACAGCACACAGCAAGAAATGGGGCTCGGGCTTCGACTCTCATCCTGCAGGCATCTCCTCTCCTCTCACTCACTGGACGGCTCTCTAGTGGTTTGCCCTCTGTGGCCTCGGTAATGGCAGCTGGCCCCCGGTGTGCAGATAGCACCCGGCGTTTAGACTGCCCTGCCTGTGAGCAGAACACGTATTACCCTGGAATATCCCAGTATCCAAAGAGGTCGCTGCACTGAGACATACTGGGAGCGTGTGTCTCCCCTTCCCATAGTCCTAAATGCTCAGAGATTAGCCTGGTCCTGGGAGCAGAGGCTGCCGTGGGGAAGTTCTATTTCCGCAGCACTGGGGCATTTCTGCGGGAACTCGGAGCCTGCTCCTCTCCCCTTTTCCCCCTGTCCGCACAGTGCGCTTGATGGATAATGGCCATTCCGTGTAGTGCGCTGAAATTCAGCCTCGCAAGTCAATGCAGAAGGTGCAGCGGCCGGCAAACACTGGCCTGCAGGCGAGATCCTGGGTCATTTACCTGCATCTCTGCAGGTACAGGCAATCGCAGCTCCCGTTGGCCATGGAGCAGTGTTCCCAGCCAATGGGAGCCGTGGGAAGCGATGTCATGGTTGGCGACTCTTCCAACAGCTCCCATTGGCTGGGAACGGCGATCTGCAACCAATGGGAGCAGCCCCACCTGTGCCTTCAGGTAAACAGAGCGGCAGTGGCCCGCCAGGGGCTAACCCTGGTGAACTGCCACCCTCTTATTGCCTCCCCTGAGCAAGTGCCTGAGCCATCCCTCGCTGGAGTCCAGGAGTCCTTCAGTGCCCTCGCTGGAGGCAGGATCTGGCCTGACTTTGCATCCCGTGTCACTCACCTCGTCAGCTTTCTGCTCGCATTTCCCATCGTGCTGTTTGGCCACGCTGGTCCCATGTTCGCTGAAAGAAGGAGAGACGGGAGTTAGGAGCCCCGGACCGGCAGGATGTGAGCTCACGCATGTGGTCTGGAATCCGGAAGGCACCTGGCCGAGTTAGTTTTCCTGAGGCAAGGCAGGGTGAGTTTCGCTTACAAGTACGTCGCTATTTGGAACCAGGCATGTGACGTCTCCTCACAGCGGGGGGCCAGCCTGCGGCCCTGGGGGTTTGATGTGTGGCCCGCGAAACATGTCGCTCACCTCCGCCCACATGCAGGGTTGCCAGATTCTGCTGGTTTCTGTCCGTGTGGTTTTTTCCTACCAGTTGTACTGAGGGATCATGCATGTAAAGCCAGGGCCGTGCAGGGAGGTGCATGTCGATTGCACACGCCAGTGCAAGAGCCGTGCGCCCCCTCTGCAGCCAAGCCTTGCGCTGCTACGGGCCAATCAGCCCCCCCTGCAGATTCTTGGGACGCCAGGGCAGTGAGCAAAACTCCCCTCTCCTGGGAGACCATCTTGGTTACGACCATTGTGCGGCCCGAGATGAAGGAGGCCACTCCTGTGGCCCCCTCACTAGCCTCGGTTGCCCAGCAAGCCTGCCTGCTATCGTTTGAGACCAGGCCGGCCCATCCTTTCCTCTGCCCAGTCACTACTCAGCCCCCTTGAACCCTGGAGGTGCTTGTCTCCTCCCTCAGAGCCCGGCTGAGAGTCCAGGGGTGGGGGAGGAAACTCGGAGCAGACCGGAGAGGCAACCAGGGCTAAAGGACCTGCCGAAATAGGCCTGTGAAGAACCCCTGGTTGTTATGAAGGCTGCTATCGGGTAAATTACGCGGAAGGCGTGTTCTCCGGACGGGACTTACGCATTGTGCGCGCACAGCCCACACTCGCTGGGGTACGTGACGCTGTCTGTGCCGCAGACCTCAGCCAGGATGAACGGACAGGCGGTCAGGACTTGGCCATCCTTTGTGGTTACCCGGCGGTACTTGCTACAGTCCACCTGTAACAGCAATGGCAAGCAGTAGCGTTAGGCCCCGTGCGTCACCTCCCGGCTGTCGTAGCTTCTACCCAGCAGCAGACTAGGGTTCTACTGCAAACTTCCGCTTCCCTTGAAAACAGGGCAGCGGGTTTCTTTCATTCTGGAGGGGAAGGAAGGCGCAGCAGGGAGACGGGATCACGCAGCCGCATTCACACCCAGAGCCTGTAGAACCTCGATAGGAATTAGAAGTGTAGCCTTAAACTAAAGCCTCACAATCGAACCCGTTTTCATTGAGGGTCCATCTCCCGGGGGTTCAGTGAGGCTCAGAAATGGCTTCTGTCTGTGCAAAACGGGGAGGGAGAAATAAGCCACCCGATCTCGCTGTGTTCTGTTACATTGATCTGAGCCTCGGTGAGTGTGAATCCCTGGAGCTCTGTGCACGTCAGCGGAAGTCAGTGTCATATTTTAGTGTCATATTTTAGTGTCATATTTTGTAGTTTCTCCAGCAAGGTGTCTGCCCGTTGCACTGCGCATCTCACACCAGATTGTACTCGGGGGGGAGCAGGGCCAGATTAAAGGGGGGCTAGCCGGGCAGCTGTCCAGGGCACCAACCTTTTGGGGGGACACCTGATGGCAGCTGTAAGGGGCACACAGCGCTCCTTACAACTGCCATCAGGCACCGCATGCCCGGCTCCTGGATCACTGGCTGCAGCAGCTCCCAGCGGCCACCCGGGGGAGGGGCCGCATTAACCCCCGCAGTGCCGGCCAGCAGCGCCTTTCCCCCCATGGCTGCGGGACCCTGCATGGCCAGGCTTAGCCCACCTCGAGCAGCCCTGGGCTGCATGCCAGCGGCAGTAGCCAAGCTGGGCCAGGCTGGGCACATGCGTCCTGCCACCACCAGCTCCGCGCGCCCTCTCCCACGCGCCGGCACAGGGGTGGGGCCACGCATGCGCCCTCCTCCAACCCGGGGCACAATTAAACTATCTGCTCGGGGTGCCAGAATGGCTCGGTCCGGCCCTGGGGGGGGTGGGGGGAATCCATAAGGACATAAGAATGGAGTGGATAGGAAAGGCATTTCTGAATCCCAGGCTTACGCCTTCACATGTATGGCCCTGGGTAGTTTTGTTTCATGGTGGGCATGTTTAGAGCTGGCCAGACTTGTAATAATAAACCCGTCCAATCATTTTTATTTGTAGTGGTCATGTGCATCAGTCAACACAATGGACACGTCTCCCCCTTCCTGTATTCCAAAAACTGGTCGCTTGGGGCATCCCCTGGTTCTGTGGGAATGGGATATTTGTTCATATTTCCACAGCAAAGGGTCATTTCTTGCTGCTCCTTGTCTCAAAGCCCCTTCCTCTTGTAGCCCTCCTTCTGACAGTGTGTGGGTGTTTATAGACAATGGCCATTTCCTGTAGTTAGGGTGAATTCACCCCTCTGCAGAAGATCCTTACAAGCGGTGGGCACCACTAAAATCCAGGCATATTGTGTCTGAACTGCTCTCTGAACCCTGTTGGAGCACACTTTAACCTGCCCGGGCACTCATGAGTGGATCTCCAAGTCACCGTGTTGTTTCAGGCCAATTCCACTAGCCAAATACACAGGGAAGCCTTGGAATTTCACTTCATTCACAAATTTGGGAGCCATCCCGAAGGCCTGAACAAAGACATCGCTTGGCTAGCACACTCCCTTCTACAGCCTAGTGACTTGTCCAACCACACAATGGGGACTTCAAAACAATTGCACCTTCTTTATCAGCCTCATGTAACATAAACACTCCAATTCAGTATTTTTTCCCTTTCTTCCCCCCCACACTTATTTATTTTGGAACTGGACTTTTAATACTCCAGTCATCTGCAGAAGTGGGCGGTGCCCATGAAAGCTCATGGTCCCATCTACATGGCTTGTTAGTCTTTAAGGTGCTGTGGAACTAGTTGTTGTTTTTTAAGTTTTTTCAGTTACACTCACTCGGCTCCCCCTCGGAAGCTGCTCTCGGAAGTTAGGAAATGCTTTCCACTGACCGTACGGGGCCAGGGTTCGGCCCTGGCTTTGCATCAGGTTGCACTTACCGGCACCGCTTTCGGCTTGCATGCTCCATCGTGCTCTCTGGAAACAGTGGTCCCATGCTCTCTGGAAGAGAAAGAGACCGATATGAGGACTCTCCATGGGTCACAGGAATCTCCCTGCTACCTCCTGCTGCTGGCAGAGCGAACCAAACTCCCACACATCATGGCGGGGGGAAAGGAGGCATGGGATTGAATTAGTCTGTCTCCTTCTACAAGGCGGTATCGGCGTGACTGACTTGTATAAGCTAGTGCCGTCTCTTTACATTGTACCATTGGGAGTAATGTTCTGACCCATTCTTCTGTCTGCTCAGCCATCACGTACTAACCCCCTGCTGCAGTCCAGGGGCTGCCTGTTCCCTGTTTCCCCAGGGAGCCAATGCAGGGTGCAAGGGGGAAACTGAGGGCAGACTAAAGGGCAAAGAAGTAGGGCCAAGGACTAAGAGATCCCCCTCCCCCTCCCCCTCTGAAACAAGCCATGGAAGATTTTCAGGAAGGTGTTTTCTGGAGCGCGGCCCTTGGTTGGTTACTCAGACGAATGTGTCCTCTGTGTGGTACTTACAAGTTATGGGCACAAATCTCGCATGCGTTGGCATATGTGACCCCATCTGTGCCACACACTTTTTGCAGGATCCGGGGGCAGACGATCAGTTCTTTGCCCTCAGAAGGTGTCCTGCGGACCAAGGAACACTCCCTCTGGGAAAGGAAAACAGCAAAGGAATTGTGACAGCCTTGGATGTATGAAACGGTGGCCCCCTTGGCCTACCCACCCTTGGCCCCCAGCCTCGCTGGCGGTTATCACAGGAGAAACGAGGCTTGCCTTTTAAACGTCTTCTGCCACCGAGAAGAGGCCTGTTCAGTTCTACGGTCGCTTTTGCTCATTCGCTCATGCCAGTGGGGAAGGATGAGTAATTGGGAGGAAGGACCCTTAGACCTGAACTCTGTGGGACACCTCCATGTACTGAAACTGAGGCCAGGTCTATGCTACCCAAGAACATTGACCTAAGATATGCAACTCCAGCAATGAGAATAGCACAGCTGGAGTTAACATGCCTTTAAATCAAATTTCTGCGGCATCCCCACCATGGGAGATTGATGGGAGAAACTCTCCCGTCGACTTCTCTTACTCCTCATGACCTGGTGGAGTGCCAGAGTCACTGGGGGCACCATCAGCAGTCTATTTAGTGGGTCTTTACTAGACTCACTAAATCAAACCCCAGAAGATGGATCTCCGGGTAAGTGTAGACCTAGCCAGAATAGGTATTACAAGTGGCACATTTAGTCAAACCTCAGAACTCAAAAGCTAATAAGATTTCATTTATGATCCAGCCTCCAGAGAGTGAAATGATAAGAATTTGTCAGCTCACATAGAACAACCAGAGAGAAATACGCTACCAGGTTTGTTGTCTAATCTGTGATACAAGAAAAACGGGGGTAGATTCTCAGCTACTGTAAATTGACCAAATTCTGCTGATGTCAGCAACAGTTGACTTACAACAGACAAGTATATGGCTCTCTGTAGGTAAATTTCATACTTTCTGCCCCAGGGTGTCTGCATGCTGCTCTATGAATCTCACACTTTTAGGTTTAAAGCTAGTCAAGTAGGTAACAAATAAATGAATCCAAGTGATTTGCTCTGATGCTTGCTGAAAAACTAGCAGCTGTTTGGATTCCTCTGCGCCCGCCTGGTGTCACAATGCAGGGGTTTTACTATATGCCCCAGTCAGTCACTCAGCAAATGCCAGTGTCCAACAAGGTGAATGCACACCAGGAACCTCGGGGGCCCTCCTCTCATAGTCCCGGAGCAGGCCGGCGACACGTTGCCTGAGACGGTGAGACGAGGTTGCTTTGTGAACAGTGCTGGCTTTCGCAGTCCTGCAGCGGTAGGGCCTTCTGGTTCCTTGTCTCAGACCCTATTCCCCTTCTGTCTCCCTTTCCCCTTTCCAGGATCTGGATAGCGGCCACTTGGATGAAACTGGCCCCTAGATACTAGGGCGGCACGTAGTCTGTGCATCGCCCACGTCCCTGCAGGGACAGCAGGGAACCGTCTCTCTCTGAAGCAACTAGCTAGGAGTTGCTCCATTTGCACGGCTGGAAGTAGGCTCTTGTGCAAGAGGGCTCACTTACCACCTCTATTCGCTTTTTGCACGGGCCATCGTGCAGTTTCCAAACACTGGTCCCAAGTTTCCTGGAGGAGGGAGAAATGGGAGTGAGGGAACTCAGTGAAGTCCTGTCCCCCTCGCAGCTCTGGTGCAATGAACCCCCCCATTGCACGGGGGAGAGGAGGCCTCTGACTGCTCCGGGGCGGTACCTGCCCCTCGGACTGGGGCAATGCCGCTGGTCAGCAGGCAGGCGAGGCCTCCTTACAGGGCGTCCTTTGGAGTAACACGCTGGCCCATTCTTTCCTCAGTGCTTAAGCACCGGACAGCCCCCGTCTGGGGCTGTGGTCTGGCCCTTCTATGCCAGCCCCCGAGCACGAAGCCCAGAGCACGCTGGGTGGGTGAAGAGGAGGGGATTGTGGAGACACGGCCAGGGAGGCATGAGGTGAAAGGGCTCCCGCGGGCCCGTTGGTGGTTGCTCAGAAGGAACGGGCGCCGGGCAGCACTCACAGGTTGTGGGCGCACAGCTGGCAGTCGTTGGAGTAAGTGATGCCGTTGGAGCCACAGAGCTCAGCCAGGATCCTTGGGCAGCCTACTGCGGTTTTGCCTTCGGCGCTCAGCCTGCCGGAGTACTGGCTGCAATTGACCTGTAAACACAGCACAGAGGCAGGCTCGGTGCGGCCCTCGCGATTGGAAATAGCGCCCATGAGCAGCCCCCCCACGGTGGGCCCCCAGACCCCCTCGCTTCTCCCATCTCACACGCCGGGGCTCGAGATGAAGCGTGTTCTTGGGCTGGAAACAGGGCGAGTCGGTTCTAGGCGTTTTCGCCCCGGGAAGGCCCGTTCCCTCAGGCTCCCCCTCTCTGGGAGGCACCCCTGCTTTACGAACAGAGCTAGGCACTAGAAGTGGATCCCTACACCGCATCCCGACACTCAGCATCGAAGGCATGGCCATGTGCGATCCAGGCAGCAGAGGGTTAAATGAGGCCAAGAATTTGTGCCAGTGTGAGCCGTACACGCACAGACAAGTAGCCTTGCAGATCATGCTGCTCCCATCTGGACCAGAGAGAAACCCTCAGGCCGGCTCCTCCCCCGTGTAAATCAAAGGGGCATCTTTGGAAATGGATTCCCCCCAACAATATGGAGTTGAGCTGATGCTCGGGGCGACACACGCAGACTGAGCACAGACGGTGTCAGGGGAAAGAACGCCACCATTAAATGGAGAAAGTGGAGTCCCAGGGTTTTCCTCTTTCAGATAGGCTGTGTCTAGACTACAGAGTTTTGTCGACAAAACGATACCTGTGTCTACACTACCGCCGAGTTCTGTCGACATTACGCAAACCTCGGCAGTTTTGTCAACGGCGGTAAACCTCATTCTACGAGGAATAACGTCTTTTGTCGACAGAGTTCTATCGACAGACGGCGCTATTGCATCTACACTGTCCTTTGCGTCTACACTCTCATGTCGACAAAGCAGCTTGCTTTGTCGACAGAACTAGATGTAGTCTAGACTCTCTTTGTTGACAGAACCTTTGTCGATAGTATCTGTCGACAATGCCTCTGTCGACAAAAGCCTATCGTCCAGACGTACCCATAGACGGCACAGGGGTGTCTTGCATCATGAGGGCCCCACCTATTCCCAGTGGGTCAGATATAGACAAGATGAATTAATCCAATGCCTGGGAATGATTTCTGTGGCCATTCATCAAATCATTGTCATGGTTACGTGCAACAGCTGGAGTGTTTAGAACCCCACTGCACACAGGGGCCCTGCCGGTGATCAGAAATGGGGGCGTTTCTCAATCTTCCCAAGTATTATCTTGGAAAATCCCAGTCTCCGAAGAGGGTGCTACACTGATGCATACAGAGGTCCTGTGTCTCCCCTTCGCAGGGCCCTCAATCTGCCTTCTCAGGGCTTTGCCCGCTACTGAGAAATGAGGCGGCTCTGGGAGCAAATGTGTGCCCAGCTCTGCAGCACTAGGATATTCCGGCTGCTTGGCTCAAACACTGCTCCTCTTCTCGCCCCTTTGTTCTGAGGGGGTATTGAAGTATTTGGACACTGGCCATTTTGTGTATTGAGGATGGAATGAATCCCTGTGTATAGGGCAGGACATCCGCCCAAGAGTCCATCCATCCAATGCCAGAACCCTCGCTCGTTGCAGTCAACAAAGATCTATCTAGTGACATCAGTGGGAATAGGATCCAGCTGTTATTTTGCTTCAGGTTACACTTACCGGGACAATTTCCTGTTTGCAGTCCCCATCATGCTTTTTCTTAATGCTTCCTCCCTGTTGTCTGGAAGAAGGAGAAACAAGTTAGAGAACTCGGTGAGAAACTGTACCGGTTATCCCCAAGAGTCAGTACAATGGCACAGCTGCACCAGTAGCATATGGGAGACAGGCGGTGTCTTACTGAGTGACTGTGTCACTGTCTGTGAGTCAGTACGACTTCTCCTTGTACGACACAAGTCTTCACGAGGGAGATAAATTGTGACCAGATGCTTCACACGTTCCGCATGAACCATCGGGGGAAAGAACACAATTGACGCCATCATTGAGCCGGGACAGATTGCCTTCAAGAGCTCATGGTCTGGACAAGATGCAGCAGGACTGAGGCTATGTCTAGGCTGCTGGCTTCTTTCAGAAGAAGCTTTTCCAGAAGAGATCTTCCAGAAAAACTTCTTTCGAAAGAGAGCGTCCACACTGCCCAAGCGCAACGAAAAAGCGATGTGCTCTTTCGAAAGAGAGCGTCCACATTCATTGGACTATCTCGCATTTAAGTTCTGTGGATGGAGTGGCCACCGGGGCACCTGTGCTTTTCCCAGAGGCCTCTTCTTTCGAAAAAACCCCTCTTCCCCATCCACACACGCCTTTTTCCATAAGAGTTCTTGCGGAAAAAGGCTTCTTCCTTGTCGAAAGAGGTTTACCGCTGATGGAAAACCCCCGGCATTCTTTAGACTTTCTGTCAAAAGCACGCAATTGCAGTGTGGACGCAAGTGTCGTTTTCCCAGGAAAACTCTGCAGTGTCGACATACCTTGAGAGGCACAAGCCAAGTATCTAACTTTAAAGAGGACCTGGGAGTTAGAGGCCAGTCGCTAAACCTGATACCCCACTGCAGCACGTACGGTGAGTGGGGGAGGAGAGGAGAAAATCAGAGCAGCCGGGAGAGCTAGAAGCCGGCAGAGGCCTCTGGAGCAAGGAGGGACTCTGCAAAGGCTGTCCTGAGGCGCTCTGTGCCCAGAAGGCTGGCTCTGTGTGTTGGACGTACAGGTTATGGGCACACAGCATGCAGTCGTTCCAGTACGTGACGCCATCGGTGCCGCAGACCTCAGCCAGGTTCCTCGGGCAGTTCATTACGACCTTGCCTTCTATAGTCTGAAAGCTGGGGAACTGGCTACAGTCGATCTGTAAAAGTGAGAGAGGGATGGGGCCGGGGCACCCGCCGGGGCAGGGACTGCCCCACACCGCCAGCCCTCAGGCGCAGGAGGGCGCTGCTGAAAACGTTTGCTTCCCTCAGCCGTGGGCAGAGCTGCTCTGCTGGCGCTTGGCAGGCTGCCGGGGAAGGAAGGCCCCGGGCGGGGACCACACCTCAGACCTGCAGGGCTGCACCGGGCCTTTGGTCGGCCTGCGGCAAAGCGTGAAACCGAGACCCCCGCCCTTCCACACACTACCCAGGG